TGGCAATCATTGTGAAAGCATTCAGCTAAGAGTTATGTCTGGCTCAGCTACCTCCCTAATCCTTGGCTTCCCCTGGTTGGCTCTTCACAACCCACAAATTGATTGGACACGTCACACCATTCTCAGTTGGAGCACTAACTGCCATTCCGAGTGCCTGAGGTCAGCGGTTCCCCCCACTAAGTGTAACCCAACTCCTCCCTCAGCTCCTCTTGATCTGTCATCTGTCCCCAAAGAATACCATGACTTAGCGGAGGTTTTCAGTAAGGACAAGGCTCTGTCTCTACCACCACATAGGCCTTATGATTGCCCTATTGAACTGCTTCCTGGTGCTCCCTTGCCCTCTAGTCGGTTATACAATCTGTCCCGACCGGAAAGAGAGGCAATGGAGCAGTACATTGGTGATTCTCTGGTCTCGGGCATAATCCGTCCCTCGTCGTCTCCTTTGGGTGCAGGTTTCTTTTTCGTGGAAAAGAAGGACAAGTCGTTACGCCCCTGTATCGATTTCAGGGGTTTAAACAACATAACTGTTAAAAACAAGTATCCCCTTCCACTCATCAACTCAGCTTTTGAACCTCTGCATGGCGCCACAGTGTTTTCCAAGCTCGACCTCAGGAATGCTTATCACCTTGTCCGAATCCGAAAGGGAGATGAGTGGAAAACCGCTTTCAACACTCCACTGGGACATTTTGAGTATTTGGTCATGCCCTTTGGGCTTTCAAATGCCCCTGCGGTTTTCCAAGCCATGGTGAACGATGTTCTTAGGGATTTTTTTTGAACCGTTTTGTCTTTGTATACCTGGATGATATTCTTGTTTTTTCCAAGTCACCCGAGGAGCATGAGTCACACGTCCGTCAAGTCCTTCAACGGCTCTTGGAGAACAAGCTGTACGTCAAAGCAGAGAAGTGTGAGTTCCACAAACAGTCTACATCGTTCCTTGGATTCATAATTGAGAGCGGGCAGGTGAAGGCGGACCCCGAGAAGATCCGGGCAGTGACGGAATGGCCCACACCCACCACCCGTAAGCAACTTCAACGATTTTTGGGCTTTGCTAACTTCTACCGTAGATTCATTAAGGGTTTTAGTAGAGTGGTGGCACCCCTTACAAGACTCACATCTCCTAAAGTCCCTTTTCGGTGGTCCCCTGAGGCGGAGCAGGCGGTAGGGGTTTTGAAGGAACTGTTTTCCACCTCCCCCGTGTTGATACACCCCAATACCTCTCTGCAGTTTGTTGTGGAGGTGGACGCGTCGGACTCAGGTGTGGGAGCAGTCCTCTCCCAGCGCTCCCCCACTGACCAAAAGCTTCACCCCTGTGCTTTTTTCTCCAAGAAATTGTCACCCACAGAACGGAATTACGACGTTGGAAAACCGGGAACTGCTGGCGGTCAAGCTTGCACTGGAAGAATGGCGGCACTGGCTGGATGGAGCTGAACTGCCGTTTGTGGTCTGGACTGACCACAAAAACTTGGCTTACATCCAAGCCACTAAGAGACTCAACTCACGCCAAGCCAGATGGGCCCTGTTTTTTAGTAGGTTTAACTTTATTCTTACATACAGACCGGGGTCAAGAAATGTTAAACCAGATGCTTTGTCCCGCCAGTTTGCTGACCCTTCGGAGACCAGCGAGCCTGAGGCAGTCCTGCCTTCCTCATGCGTCGTGGCGGCTGTTCAGTGGGAGATCGAGTCTCTTGTGAAGACTGCACTTGCCACGGACCCGGGACCGGGTGATGGACCTCCCAACCTACTCACCTCCCAACCTACTCTTTGTTCCCGAGACGGTCCGGTCTCAGGTGTTGCAGTGGATTCACACCTCCCGTTTTGCTGGTCACCCTGGGATGAGACGCACGTTGACGCTGCTTAGGAGACATTTTTGGTGGCCTTCAATGGAAACTGACGTTCGGGCTTTTGTGGCAGCCTGTTCAACCTGTGCTCGGGGCAAAGCCTCCCATCAGTCCCCTTCGGGGCTGCTGCTACCCCTCCCAGTTCCCAGCCGTCCTGGTCCCACATTGCCATGGATTTTGTCACCGGCCTACCCAAGTCTGAAGGTAATGATACTATACTTACCATTGTGGACAGATTCTCTAAATCTGTCCACTATATAGCATTACCAAAATTACCGTCTGCCAGTGAGACAGCGGACCTCCTAGTCCAACATGTATTCCGTCCCCATGGAATACCTGTGGACATCGTATCTGATAGAGGCCCACAGTTTACTTCCCGTGTTTGGAAGGTTTTCTGTTCTGCTTGGGTGCTTCCGTTAGTCTGTCCTCAGGGTTTCATCCCCAGACCAACGGTCAAACAGAAAGAGCCAATCAAAAACCTCGAAGCAACCCTTCGTTGTGTGGCTGCTCAACATCCATCATCCTGGGCCAAACATCTGCCCTGGATAGAGTACGCCCACAACTCCCTCACCGCCTCTGCCACCGGTCTTTCACCCTTCGAGGTTACCATGGGTTATCAACCCCCTCTGTTTCCTGCTCAGGAGAAGGAATTGGCTGTTCCTTCGGTTCAGGAGAACCTCCGCCGCTGCCAGAGAGTGTGGAGCGACGCTCGGGAAGCATTGCTTCGGACCACCGACAGGAACAAGACAACAGCGGATAGGAGCAGGACTCCCGCAACCTGTGTTTCATCCTGGTCAAGAGGTTTGGCTGTCATCTAAGAACGTACCTCTTCGTACCAAATCACGCAAGCTGTCTCCTCGGTACCTGGGTCCGTTTGTGGTGGAGTCCATCATTAACCCCGCTGCGGTTTCGTTTGAAGTTGCCTTCAGCCATGAAGATACACCCTATCTTCCAGTCTCCCAACTGAAACCTGTGTCTCCAGCCTTGTTGTGTCCGCCGGCTGATCCAACCTCCACCTGTTCGCCTCATTGACGACCATCCGGCCTACCACCGTCAGTAGGCTCCTGGACTCTCGGAGGCGGGTAGGGGTCTCCAATACCTAGTCGATTGGGAAGGTATGGACCAGAGGAGAGGTTTGGGTTCCCTAAAGCGTTTTGTGTTGGATCCTCAGCTGATCACGGACTTCCATCACGAAAACCCGGAAAGGC